CCAGCACTCTGCTCCACTTCCTTGTATGAAGGCCTCTGTGGCAGGAGTCGGGGAGCAAGAGTGGTTTTAATTATTTATACAGACAGGAGATTTTTCAGCTCTGAGACCCAGTTTCTGGGAAGTTCCAGTTTTGAAGTCGGCCACTTTGATTGCAGTCCTGCTGCTTCCTCCAAGCTAACTACAAAGAGCTGGCATAGAAGAACAGACATCGGGGATGAATTGTCTTCCAACTCTTTGAGGGCACAGCCATCTCGGCAAAGCAAGTCCCCCAGCAGAGACATTTAAATGATACAGAACAGCAGGAAGCAGGCCTCCTCCTCAAATGGAAAAACGACATCGCCACCGATGGGGAGTCCTCTGCACCTGCTTAAAGCAGGTTGTAAAATCTGGGATGTGAGCCTTTCCTCCGGTGCTGCTACAGTCAGAAGGTGGCATTTATGCTCTTAAAGGCAGTGGGGGAAAGCCTCGCCTTCTTCCTCAGTGCCTGCCAGGAGTTCATCGTATTTAATAGCCCTATGAAAACCCAATCCTCCAACCTCTCTTAAGGCCACGGTTTTATGGGCCGTAAGAAGGAGGGCTTTCCTGGGAACAATAGAGCACTGTTGTGATAGTAAAGTGAAATTGCTTTGTTGTGTGTGAGGCAAGAAACTCGAGAGTTTATTTCTGGCAGAACAATGACTTCAGTCTCCCTCCCCTGTTCTCAGGTGCCACAGCCTCTGAGGGGGTACGGTACCCCCTCCCCTGTCAACGCCCACTGGGGAACCGGGCCCCGCTTTTTATCCTCGGGCTGGAACAGCTCTCCGGAGACCCATGCCACAAACTGCCCATGTTATCCAAATCTGCCTCCGAACGTTCCTTGACCCAGACGCTGATGAACTGGCCAAAACATTAACTTCTACTTACTCTCATGAGGGTGACTATTTCATCCATGTAAGGTCTGATGTGGCTCTTCACAAAGGACACCAGCATCCCCAGCTGCTGGAACAGAAACTGGAATGGAGAAGAGGTCAGCAAGTTGGCATCAGGAAGGATGTAGAACTCCCAGGCTTACCCTAAGTCCGTGGGAACAAACGAAGACAACTATGGGATTGGTTTCCACACCATTCTATGCACTGAGAGTAAGTCTAAGAAAAAAAAACCCAGAACCGAAAATTTTGGTGGTGGCAGTGGTTGGGGCTAAAAACAACTGTCAGGTGGCTTCATACCCCAGGTGAGCTAGTTACTGCACAGCAGGTGCCCTGGGGCCACACTGTCTGTTGTGAGCCATGATGCTACCTATTAGCTCTATGACCTTCATTTACCTTCTCTGCGCCCAGCTTCTTTGGTTGGAAAAAGCAGGTAACAGGCCACTTGTCTCCGAGGCTTATTTTAAGTTAAATGGGATAATACCTGATGTGAATACTATTAAGTGCTCCATGAACACCAGCTATCACTGAAAGATTTCTGGAGTTACTAAAGACTTAAAAACGGACATGAAATTTGTAATCAAATGTAAATGTGTCTGGTCTTTTCAGTTCTAATTCACTACCACTTACTTTCTAAAAATACAGCTAACTATTATGGTTCATTTATAGTAATTAATTAATTAGGTCTTTTTTTTAAAAAATTTTTTTTTCAACGTTTATTTATTTTTGGGACAGAGTGAGACAGAGCATGAACGGGGGAGGGGCAGAGAGAGAGGGAGACACAGAATCGGAAACAGGCTCCAGGCTCTGAGCCATCAGCCCAGAGCCCGACGCGGGGCTCGAACTCCCGGACCGCGAGATCGTGACCTGGCTGAAGTCGGACGCTCAACCGACTGCGCCACCCAGGCGCCCCAAAATTAATTAGGTCTTAATTCATTAGTTAGCAGTGTAACTCTAAGAATCTTTGAACCAAAACAGTAAGCAAACAGGGGGAGGGATGAGATAGGGAGACCTGTTCAGGTTGACACGGTACAAAAGTTAAGAAGAGGTGCCTTCTGCTAAAACAAGCTGGGAATGAAAAGACTGGGGAAAAGGCAACCTCTGCTACTAAAGAGGTCTTTAGGGCATAGTTTTTATCTTGTTAGGATCTTCAGATAGTGCTACGTGTCCATATTCAGTAGCGAATCATATTCTAAATGTCCCTCCCCAAAAGATTTTTATAGCCCTCTATGCCTTTGCCTCCCCCCATTAATAAGGACAATTTAGTGTGAACATACATATTTTCACTCTTTCCACATTTGGAAACTTGAGTAAGTTGGGGATAAATAAAAAGTGTTGTTTCAAATAGTGAGCAACGGACTTACGGACTCATTATCTGATGAGGAGAGACTGACAGGACAGACAGGGTTGGGCTCGAAGGGAGTGTGGACGCATTCTCTAACCACAAGGATACCAATGGATTCTAAGCAGTTACAATCTGCTCACCACATGGCACAGTTCCGATTCAACTCAGGACGGCCGTTCCTACCTATCTCTTGGGTGCCTCCTCATTGAATCGCTGACAGTTTTTGTGAAATGTTCTCTATAAAAGGACATTCCAGAGATCAAGGGACGGGGGACTCTAAATATAATGGTTTTTTAGTTAAATTTTTGTTATGGCAAACCTGACAAAAGGTAGAAAATCAAAGCTGGAGGAAGAGCAGGGCGCTGGGGATGGGAGGGCAGAAAGGACAAAGTGTCCTGATCCTTGCTGTCATTTCATATTAGGTGTAACGGGGACGCCTCTCTGTGGCTGTCATCTGCAGCAGCCACACAAGGGTACCCACACACAAGTGTCCCCTCCACAGCAGCCACCTCATTTCTTCTTCTGTAGACTCTCTCATGCGATTTGTCTTCTCTTTTCCCCCTGAACGTTAGTATTTTAAAAGAACATATAGTGTTGTTCTGAAAATATGGTGGGTTAGATATCCTTACTATGAAAAGCCTAAAGATAATGCATAAAGGTAATAAATATTGTTATTATACTAAGAGAATTGAAACCTGTCACAGAAAGCCAGACCTTCAGAGGGCTACATAGTAAGAGAAATGGTGACCCTCCCACCCCTAAAGCTGTCCAATGGCATAAGGAGACAAAGACATCTGTCAGCCTTGATGTGACATCTAGGTAGGAAAAAAGTCTCCCCCAAGAGCTTGCAATTTCAGTTCATTTTCATATGAGTTTAGATATGGGTTATTTGGACCATCTCTGTGGACTGAGAAACTCTAAGCCAAGAAATTAACTTAAGGTTCTCTTGGATCATAGGGCAGAAGCAAATGTAAATCTGGAGAGATGCGACCTCAGAGCCAGGGAATGCCAGTGGGCTAGGATGTGCGATCCAAAATTATAAAACACATAAGGACAGGCCACTCAGAGCATGACTCAGCAGAAACAATAAGTAGCAGGATCGGACCCATCAAGGATTTTATACATATTGGAATTATTGGATAAAAATATAAAACAGATCTGTTTAAAATGCTTAAATTCTCACATTTATTTATGTGAGAATTTAGGGCACCTGGGTTAAGCATCTGACTTCGGCTCAGGTCATGATCTCCTGGTTCACGAGTTTGAACCCCGTGTCAGGCTCTGTGCGGACAGCTCAGAGCCTGGAGCCTGCTTCAGATTCTGTGTCTCCCTCTCTCTCTCTGCCCCTCCCCTACTGGTGCTCTCTCTCTGTCTCTCAAAAATAAATAAGCATTATATATATATAGTTGAACCTAAAAACTCAAGGACAGGTCCAAAGACACAGTTGAGGAATTCATGAACAGAAACAGGAAGTGAAGAAATATCTAGAAGGGAACCTCAGAGAGATAAAGATGAAAAATACAGAGAAGAAACTAACAGACATTAAGGACAAAGTGAGAAGCACTACAGGTTGAAACGAATTCTGCAAGGAAAAAATCGAAGGGTGGAATCCTCATATTCGGGAAGTCCACAAATCCCAAAGAGGATGCAAGAAAGCAATCCGTATCTATACACACAATAGTGGAGCTTCAGGGCAACAAACACAATGAGAAGATCTGAAACAGACACTGAGAAAAGTGAGGTTAAGTGAAAAGGAATCATGATTTCTCAACAAAAGAAATGAGAAAACGTGGGATCTTATCTACAGTTGCAGAACCCACAATTGTATTCTCAGCTAAGTAAGGATTTTAAAAGGGTGAAATAAAAATGGTTTCAGATAAAACAGAAACAGAGAGTTTACTCTGATGGATGCTCACAAGAGGAATGTGCCTTGGCTCTACAGAAGGATAATGATGCTAGGAGGAAGCACTGAGGTGGGAGACAGAATAAGGAGAAGTGAGTTGGCAAGTGTCTCTGCACACAACAGTGATAACGTTTAGTTTGGTGGTAGAAAAAAAAGGGATACTTCATAATAACATAGTCTGAGCAATCGTTCTAAGTTTTGTATGTTATTCTGGGGAAGGACAGAGATACGGATTCATTTTTAAAATTAGGTATTAAAATTAGGCATGTGAGGCAAAATCGTAAGGGTAGAGAAAGATAACACGAATCCATCCTGTACACGGGGACATATTCCAAAGAGTTCAAAGATCTAAGTGTAAAAAATGAGGGGGCACCTGGCTGGCTCAGTCACAGGAGCACGTGACTGTTGATCTCAGGGTTGTGAGGTCACACCCCACACTGGGTGTAGAGATTACTAAAAAAAAAAAAAAACAAATAAAAAGCTTTTTAAAAATGTAAAAAATGAGGCCAATCAAGTACAAAAAGAGGTAAAAATTATATGCACACACAGCTTTTTGTTACAGGATTATTTGAAGTATCAAAAGAGTGGAAAAAACGTAAAATACATCCACAGGGATGGGTTAAATGGCGGGGGGATATCCACAGAGTGGAGCGCCATCACCTCTCAAGGAAAGAAGGAAAGATAAATTTAAAAACTGACCAAAACGGTTACCTCAGGGGGTGGGAGTGCAAGTTGGTGCAGCCACTCTGGAAAACAGTATGAGGTTCCTCAAAAAACTAAAAATAGAACTACCCTACGACCCAGCCATTGCACTACTAGGTGTTTATCCACGGGATACAGGTGTGCTGTTTCGAAGGGACACATGCACCCCCATGTTTCTAGCAGCACTATCGACAATAGCCAAAGGATGGAAAGAGCCCAGATGTCCATCGATGGATGATGGATAAAGGAGATGGGGTATAGATACACAATGGAGTATTACTCGGCAATCAAAAAGAATGAAATCTCGCATTTACAACTACGTGGATGGAACTGGAGGCTATTATGCTAAGTGAAATTAGTCAGTCAGAGAAAGACAAAAACCATATGACTTCATTCATATGAGGACTTTAAGAGACAAAACAGATGGACAGAAGGGAAGGGAAGCAAAAATAACAAAAAAACAGGGAGGAGGACAAAACATAAGAGAGTCTTAAATATGGAGAACAAACTGAGGGTTGCTGGAGGGGTTGTGGGAGGGGGCTGGGCTAAATGGGGAAGGGGCACTAAGGAAGCTACTCCTGAAATCATTGTTGCACTATAGGCTAACTAATTTGGATGTAAATTTAAAAAAAGAAAAAAATTTAAAAAAATAATAAAAATAAAATAAAATGTAAAGAAACATTAAAAAATAAAAATAATAAAAAATTAACCACCAGTAGGGAAGATTTAATAATACATGATTGAACATCAAAAAAAAACAACCAAAACCCGGTTACCTCAGGGGGAAGTGCGGTAGGTAGAACAATGGTACGCCACAGATGTCCATGCCCCAATCCCCAGAACCTACCAATACATGACAAAGGGGACTTCAGAAGAGGTGATTAAGGTTCAGGACTTTGACATGTGGAGGTTATCCAGGTGTGGCAAATCTAATCAAAGGCATCCTTACCTTAAAAGCAGAGAACCTTTCCTGGCAGTGGGCAGAGAGAAAGATCGGACAGCAGAAGAAGGGTCAGGGAGATGCAATGTTGCTGACTCTGAAGGTGGAGGCAGATGGCAAAGGAACGTGGGAAGCCTCTAGAAGCTAGAAGAAGAAGATGGATTCTCCCCTACAGCCTCCAGAAAGGAATGTGGC